TCCCAAAGGCATGGGATTATAGGCTGAGCCACCGAGCCCGGCTTATTAGCAATATTTTTAAAGATTTGAATAAGAATAAATTCTCTCATAAATTTCAAAGGCTCAGCCCTGTTCCCTTGCTAAACCTCAGAAGTTGTTCTAATAACTGCCAGTGCCATCCAAGAGTAATTTTACTAGAAGTCCAGAATGGCTAGTAAAGACTTGGGCCAAGGCCAAGTGCAGTCGCTTAAGATTGTAATTCCAGCACTTTGGGAGGCCAAGGTGAAGGGATTGCCTGAGCCCACGGGCTGGAGAACAACCTGGACAACTTCGTGAGACCTCATCTCTACACAAAAACAAACAAAATTAGCTGGGCATGGTAGCACGTGCCTGCAGTTCTGGCTATTTGGAAGGCTAAGGTGGAAGGATCGCCTTAGTCCAGCAGGTCGACACTGGGGTGGCTGTGAGCATGCCAGTGCTCTCCAACTTGGGCGAAGGAGTGAGGCTCGAACTTAAAAAAAAAAAAAAAAAAAAAAGACTTAGGCCTTTGTCCCCATCATTCCAGTTCTTTTTCCCACAAGCCTTGTGATTATAAATGAGCCGTCAACCGGAGATGACTTTGGGGCATTTGAGAGAACACCATTATTTTTGTCTTGGGTAATATAAAATAATAGCATAAACTTTGCTGGCAATATGATGTCAGCAAAGGAGTTCTGAATGGGGGTGGCCCATTTTCCTGAAAGTCCAGGAGAGATAGTAGCCACCTGTGTTTTATAAAAAAACAAATAACACCAGATAATTGCTGGGGTCTTCATCTTTCTCCTATTTTACAACTTTATTTTAATTCTCATTTTCCTCATAGTTTTTGAACCAAAAGTACAAATACGTTCTCCCACTTAATGTAAAAAAAAGGAAAACAAGTCACTAAATTTAATGTTTCTCCTACCAAATAAATTTCCTTGTAAGACTCAATGTAGTACCATAGCCTCATTTAACAGTCAAGGAGACCGGGTGCAGTGGCTTACTCCTGTAATCCCAGCACTTTGGGAGGCAAAGGTGAGAAGACTGCCTGAGTCCAGGGGTTCAAGACCAGCCTGGGCAACTTGGCAAGACCTCTTTTCTACAATAATTCAAAAAATTAGCTGGGTGTGGTGTTGTGCACCTGCGGTTCCAGCTACTTGGAAGGCTGAAGTAAAAGGATCACCTGAGCCCAGCAGGTCAAGGCTTTGATGGCCGTGAGCATGCCACTGCACTCCAGCCTGGGCAACAGAGTGACTCAAACAAAACAAAACAAAAACCCGGGTAACCCCTTCAAGTCCCCTCTCACTGTGGGAGCTTTTCTGTCCTCTCAATAAATCCTGCTTTAAAAAGAAAAGAAAAGAAAAACCCACCAAAGAAACCTGTACCTAGAAGTCAAGAAGAGGTAGAATACTAAACATGAATAGCAATGACACTAAAATTAGTGAAAAACTTAAATGACATTGAAATAATGAGGTCGCCGCTTTGACTTTCTTTTTTTAAGCTCACATGGGGTTGTGATCTCAAATAAGTTGTTAGTACATCCACCAACTCTAGGCAGATGGTTAGGGGCTTAGAGAACTATCAGAATGGGCCGAAGAGAGAAGTCTTATTAAGGGTTACAGAGAAGGTGAACTGTTTTTCTCCCCTAAGGTTGAAAAAGAAGAAAAATCATTGTCAAATCAGTTACCGATTTTTCTGGCTGCCTCTAGCTGCTTGTAGGTTGCAAGACGGCCACCTTCAAATTCACAGACCACCTTGGCTTCTGCATACGTGAGCTTGTATTTGCCAGACCGGGCTTCTCTGTGGTACACACCTGCTGCTTGTTCTGTGAAATCACACAACATTATAAGTGTACTATTTCATTCTTCATTCTTCATTCTTGTGGAACAAGGGAAATTTCGTGGCCTCAGCTGGAAGATTACATCAGCTATTGTTCCTGCCAAAAGGCTTTCTGGGTCAGCGGCCTTGGGTGGCTAAGTTTTCATTGTTAGAAAACTTTGGGGGAAAACATATGAATGAGGGGAATTCTAGGAGAATTTAGGGACACAGGCAGAAGCTTGAGGCTAAATTATGTTTTTGACCTGATGACCTGAAAGGAAGTTTTTACTACAACATTGTATTTTTACACTATCCACAGGTGATAAAGTATTGACTTTATTTTGGGTTTAAGTCATATAAAAACTTGGAAAAGTAAGCAATAGGAAGAAAAAAGGATGTGAAGGCAAAATAAATAAATGAAAATGAGCCCATTAAGCCGGGCGTGGTGGCTCACACCTATAATCCTAGCACATCGGGAGGCCGAGGTGAGAGGATTGCCTGAGCCTACGAGTTCAAGACCAGCCCTGGCAACTTGGTGAGAACTCATCTCGACAATAAATAAAAAAAAAATTAGCCGGGCATAGTGGTGCGTGCCTGTAGTTCCAGCTACTTGGAAGGCTGAGGTGGTAGGATCGCCTGAACCCAGCAGGTAGAGGCTGTGGTGGCCGTGAGCATGCCAGTTCCCTTCAGTCTGGGGGACAGAGTGAGACTACAACTCAAAAAAAAAAAAAGGAAATCGATTCCATTATGCAGGCTCACAATGATGGAGAAAAATAAGCCAAAATATCCATTTGAGGGAAATGACTAATGCAATATAATTATGAATTTAATAAACAAATAAAAATTGAAGAAAGGTCAGGAGGAATCCAAAGCAAACAAATACAAATTCTTAAGGAAAAGAAAAATAGCTTCAAACACAGCAGAGAAAAAACCGGACACACCTAACTACCAGTCAGAGTCTACGTTTTTATCTGATTTGTCTTTTAGTTCACATGTTCCCAACATATTTTAGGAAGTGTTAAGTCATGTGTGAGTTGTCTTTCAATAGATCACTGTTTGAATGGGTTGTTTTGAGTCTGGAGTGCTTTCTGCCATAGAAACAATGTGAAAAGATTCCCAGGATAATAGTCATGACATTAGCTCTGTAGTTACTTCTATGTAGTCTGCCAGATTATGGTTAAATCTTTGTACCATGGTCTGTGTAACCAGCTACCATTAAGATTTCTCGGCACGCAGCAAGACATGAGTTCAAGGGAAGTAGAAATATAGTTTCTTGTAAAGTTGACACTATCACAGAGATAATGCTTGGCATTTTCTGTTTTCTAACCTCCAAGGGAGTCCACTCTTATATATTATATGGTAAAGTCTATTACTCACACAGAAGGCCCTCATCAATCTGATGCTTGTAGGTCAGAGGATTCCAGGAACATCATAACCAGTCAAGTTGTTTCCTCCTCCCCCCTTTTTTTTTGAGTTGGAGTCTCACTCTGTTGCCCAGGCTGGAGTGCAGTGGCGTGCTCACAGCCACTGCAGCCTCAACCGGCTGGGTTCAGGTGATCCTTCCACCTCAGCCTTTCAAGTAGCTGGAACTGCAGACATGCGCCACCATGCCCAGTTAACTTCTTGATTTACTGTAGAGATGAAATCTTGCCAAGTTGCCCAGCCTGGTCTCGAACTCGTGGGCTGGGGCAATCCTCGCATCTTGGCCTCCCCAAGTGCTGGAATTATAGGCATGAACCACCATGCCCGGCCTCAGTTTGGTTTATTTTAAGTATTATACCAAGGGATATTTTGCTAGGCACTATGGGTCAAGTTCTTTCCTGAAGAAACTTGGACATTAGTGAACATTATGCTTTATCTTGAAATAGAGGAACAATAAGGCTTTTGGTAGAAAAGGGAGTCATGTTTAACTTTTTCTTTTTTTGAGTTGAAGTCTCAATCTGTTGCCCAGACTGGAGTGCAGTGGCCACTCCCAGCCACCGCATCCTCGGCCTGCTGGGCTCCGGTGATCCTTCCGCCTCAGCCTTCCAAGTAGCTGGAACTACTGGCGCACGCTACCACACCCGGCTAATTTTTTGATTTATTGTAGAGATGAGGTCTCACCAAGTTGCCCAGGTGGGTCTCGAACCCGCAGGCTCAGGCAATCCACTCACCTCAGCCTCCCAAAGGCGCGGGATTACAGGCTGAGCCACCGAGCCCAGCTATGTTTAACTTTTGTATCATAATAGAGATTGTTGATTATTAAAAAATGTTAAAATTATATCTATTTCCTGAAAATATAGACTAAGGAATCTTTCTTTGAAAAAATTTTTGTAGAAATTACTTTAACATATGCCAAGTTTTCTCAAATTGATTTTTCTTGGTATTTTACTCCAAAATCAAAATATAATGTTGACCGGAACAACATTTACAAATCAAAAAAGAAGTTTTATATTTTCCTGTCAGTAATTTTTCTTAATCTTTTGATATCTGCTGATACTTGTCTAGTAACAAAAATAGCAAAAATATTATATGTTATAAATAATTTTCAATTTAATTTATTAAATTCAACATTCCACATTGTTTCTCACAGAGAACCAACTTCCCAGCATCTTGCTTTAGGAACAAATTGAGAACTCTTGGTGAACCTACCTGACAACTTTAAACAAGGCATTACTTTTAAAGTATTCCTCAATTTGGAATATGACGCTATTAAAATGGATCTTTTTACAATGAATCCCAATTTTGCCTTTCAGAAGAAATAAGATTTTATTCATTTTTTTAGTCAATAGTAATTTATTTTTTTAAACTGATAATTGGTTTAACCAATATAGTTTTTTCTCCATTTAGCAAGTGCCAACAAATGGAATGCTGACTCTGCTTTCCACTGCTGGTTCCACTGTGGAAGAGTCATATAATCTTGTATAACTTGATAGGCCTCAGTTTTCTCATCTTTCAAATGGGAATAATGTTCGCTTCCGACCCTAGTAGGAACTCAAGATATGTTACTTTTCCTTTTCCTTCTTTTTCAAATTCAACAAGGACTGAAAAGAATTGCTTATTTATGCATTTTCAATTTTCAAGATCCATGGAAACTGAAATTTCTTGCCTTTAAGCTTTTTTTTTTGTTTGCTTGTTTGTTTAAAGTACAATTTAAGAAATTAGAGCCGGGCGCAGTAGCTCACGCCTGTAATCGCAGCACTTTGGGAGGCTATGGCAAGAAGATTGCCTGAGCCCGGGGTTTCGAGACCAGTCTGGGCAACTTGGCGAGACCTCATCTCTCCAATAAAAGAAGAAAAAAAAAAATTAGCCAGGCATAGTAGCATGTGCCTGTAGTTCCAACTTTATGGAAAGTCTGAGGTGGAAGGATAGTCTGAAGCCAGCTGGTCGAGGCTGCGGTGGCCGTGAACATGCCCCTGCACTCCAGCTTGGGTGACAGAGTGAGACGCCAACTCAAGAAAAAAAAATAATTAGAGGATATACTAGAGTTAAAATAAGCCTTAGGGATTCCTTACTTCAACCTTCTCGTTTTACTTGTTTGGACCCATAACTTAAAAGAATTGGAAGTGTCTTGTTCTTGATAGTTGCTAACAGATTCATGCTTTCTAATCAACTCTTTTCTTCCTAAATACTTTCTAATATTATATTGACCCAACCAACTGTAAACAATCTGTGCTAGGCTGACTGGTCAATAATTCGTCCCAGATTGAAGCAATTTGCAAATATCCAGAGCCTCGTATTTGCAGCTTATTATTAACAAACATTTGGATTTCCTCCTCTCTACCTATGCAGCAGAACTTCAATTGTCCAGGTTTACATTTTTGTAATATACAACATTACTTAAAAAAAAAAAAAAACCCTTCAAATTACTTGATTATTAGAGACTTTGACATTTCAGTTTATCTATATGGGTTTAATTCTTTACTAGCTTTATGAAATTTAAAAACTTTCTGAAAAACATGAATATGTTTTCTAAATTTGATTGGGTGCAGTGAAAATAAAAGAGATATGCTCATCTCTCTACTAAATTCCAGAACCCATCTTGACTGAATGGATCACATTGAAACTAGTTCACTGGCTCAAGCTGAAAAAAAAAGAGGTGGCAAGGGTATGCATTACAAATCAGTCTTTTTAATGAAATCCACATGGTTGCAGTTATTACCAGAGAGAAACATGCCTAAAAGGAAAACATTCTACAAGTGTGTGTTGTTTAGCAAGCATAAACCAAGAAGTAGGTTAATTTTTGCCTTCTCTTTGTTTCTTTGTTCTATATAAGAATCCATCAATTTTTTTCCCTAAACAATTCATGAAGTATTATCAATTTGTATCATGAGAATTAAAGCATTGTTTAGTGTACTATAAAGAGTATTTTGGGTTTTCTCTATTTTGTTTTTTTTGATCTACTGTTTATCTTCACCATTTGGCCTATGCCATTCCTTACATTTAACAACACAAAATTTTTAAAAAGAAACTTTCCTTGTTCAACAAAAAGGTTAGAAAAGTATTTACATGGACAACATATGCAAAAAGAATCAAAGTGGTAAGAACATATTCAGAAGAAGAAATCCTTTTCATCTTTTTTCTGTATTTCAAGCTGGCTTTGTGAAACTCGTCAAAAAATATTTGGGAAAACTAAGATATACAATAAAGCTCTGAGTACATGCAACAATGATTACAAAAATTTTTGTATACTCCAGTTTACCTGTTCTGGTTCTGAAATATGATTGTAAACGCATTGAAATCAAAACAAAAGAACATATTGGTAGTTTTAGTTTGTTAAAGAAATACTCCTCACTATGCTACTACATTTGCTCTGAAAACATGTTTAAATATATTTGCATATTAAATATAAACACTAACCGCTATTTTTACCAAGCAATCCACGTTATCCACTTTATAAAATGCTATTTTAACTTTTATAAGATAAGAACATTTAAAAAAAATACGCATTCCTATGGGTTACCATTTTTAAGCATTTTCTTTGAAAATATCAGCTTTGAACAGAATAGAAAAATGTACTGCCTTGATTCTCTTCTCTATGATTCAAAGGATTGACATTTCCACCAAGAATCTCATGAGTGAAGTTTCTTACCAAGCCATATAGAGTTATGAAAAATCCCATCCTTGAATCCCCATCCTTGAACTTCTTCCCACAGCGTGAGAAATAAGTAAATTAAGATGATCATATCTTCAGTTGTAGAGAAATAACAGTCTGCCGGGACTGCTCACGATAAATTCTCAGAGCAGTGGCTGAAATGTGACTGAAACATCTGGTTTCCACATCTTTTAAATCGTTTTTTTCAACTGTGAGGTCAGCAAGTACTCTCCAATGGCATTTTCTGCTGTAGAGTTACACAATTATCTCAGTGTCTGAGGCAAATCCTCTGACTCATTTGCATTGGCAACCAAAACTAGAGATACAGAATGATCATCTACGTTTTAAAATTCACTTACTCAGAAAGGAGTTCATTTATCTGTTAGTCACAAACACTCTTCTGTTAGAAATTTCATGTAACTTGTATATTCAGCAGTGATTAAAATGATGTCAAAGTATAGCAGGCATTTTAAGAGAAATCCTAAATGTCTTATTTGCAGCGACAATTTTTTTTTTGAGTTGGAGTCTCACTCTGTCACCCAGATTGGAGTGCAGTGGCTGCTCCCGGCCACCGCAGCCTTGACCTGCTGGCTCTGGCAATCCTTCCGCCTCAGCCTTCCAAGTAGCTGGAACTACAGGTGCCTGCTACCACGCCTGGCTAATTTTGATTTATTGTGGAGATGCGATCTCACCAAGTTGCCCAGGCGGGTCTCGAACCCGCGGGCTAAAGCAATCCACTCACCTGAGCCTCCCAAAGCACTGGGATTACAGACTGAGCTACTGAGCCTAGCTTGCAGTGACAATTATGGGGTATGGGGTTAAGCCCTAATCTTTAACTTGTCCCTGGTCATGTTGCACTGGTTTTTCCTACACATTATCAAGCTTGTATAAAAAATTTAAAGCAAGATGTGTGCAGTTTGGCAAATTTCAAGCTTTCTTTAGTGATATAGGACTTCATTTTTTGTGTGCATTTGTCCTAGGCTGAGGTCTCTTGCAGTCTTTAGTTTGTTATTGTTAGCGGGCTAATAAATGCATCAGCTTCCAGAAAAGTAATTTGATTTTCGAACTTTAGGACATTCCAGCAGCTTTGGGGTATCCTATTATAGCATAAATTTCCCCAGGTCACAAATTCTTGAAGTATTGGGAGAAAAGGTGAGTAGACTATAATAAAGTTAACAAAAAATGACCCTAGATTTCCTAAACCATTCTAACTTTGAAGATGATCAAAATTATAGGTAATAATGACCACAGTAAAGTCATCATGCCTTCAAATATTCCAAATTTTCCTCTCTTTTTGTGTAGAGTCCTTGGGCAACATGTTTAGCAATAGTCCCAGTCCCACTGATGTTAATGGCATTTTCTATTGCTTACTCAGAGTCGTTTGTTGACGGCTTTTTTTTTTTTTTGAGTTGGAGTCTCACTCTGTCACCCAGACTGGAGTGCAGTGGCCGCTCCCGGCCACTGCAACCTCGACCTGCTGGGCTCCAGCGATCCTTCCGCCTCCGTCTTCCAAGTAGCTGGAACTACAGGCACGCACTACCACGCCCGGCTAATTTTTGATTTATTGTGAAGATGAGGTCTCGCCAAGTTGCCCAGGTGGGTCTTGAACCCGTGGGCTCAGGCAATTCACTCACCTCAGCCTCCCAAAGTGTGGGATTACAGTCTGAGCCACCGAGCCTGGCTTATTGACAGCTTTTGATTGTCTCTTTTTTTTGAGTTGAGGTCTCACTCTTGCCCAGGTTGGTGGGCATTGGCACCATCACGCTCATTGCAACCTCGATCTCCTGGGCTTGGGTGATCCTTTTGCCTCCGCCTCCCAAGTAGCTGGGACTATAGGTGTGAGCCACCACATCTGGCTAATTTTCTAATTTTTTTGTCTAGACAAGGTCTCCTTATGTTGTCCAGGATGGTCTCGAACTCCTGGGCTCAAGTGATCCTCCTGCCTCAGCCTCCCAAAGTGCTGGGATTACAGGCGTGACCCACTGTGCCCAGTCTGATTTCTTTTTTTTTAATTGGTCATTCTTTGCTACTCAACTTCTCTATTTTTGGTGCCAAACTTCTCATTCACTCCTATTATAGTACTTATTTCTCCCATGCATTCTTAGTCCCTCTAATCACATTGGAATCCTTTGAAAAATCCAACTTTTTAGACATGCTCTGGTCTGAAATTAGCTTTGAATCCCTTAGGAACTTTGCATAAAATACCTCAGGCTTGTCCTGGTCTCATCTCTCTTTAAGAAGGCAGTCATGGGGAGGCAGACTGAGGGTCCAGAATTTACTGGATGCTCACTGAGTTGTGCATAAAGTTACTAGAGTTCAAAATCTCTATTTGGGCCTGTGGCAAATGAGAGATGAGGGAATTTTTTCCAAGTTCACAGATAGAATTCGTGAATTTAAGTATGGTATAAAAAGGATATAGTCTAGACCCGGTGGGTGTGATTATGAAGACAGGCATGGTCAGCGGGAATAGATAGTTGGAAGGAAAAGTTCATCATATTTTTCTGGAAAGTAGAATTACATGAGTATTTTAAGTTTGTGGTTTAGGAAGTAAGAATAACTTGCTTCTGCAATGCTTCAGCCACACTGTCATAGCCTTCCCCATTTTTTGCCTGTCACATCACATTCTCTGGCTGTGCTCTTCTTGCATCTCTTTCAAGCATCTAATTTCCCCCTAGTTCTCATTTATCAAAAAATTACTTTCAGGAAAGGGTTTGCAATTAATCTTTACTCAGGCCAAATAACTAACAACAGATAGTCTTCTGTGTTCATTTGCATTTTAATTAAGCTCTAAGTAGAGCAGGGTGTGAATGTTCAACTTGTTTTAACATAAAAATTTAATGAGTCACATTGATGAATTAACCCAATCTAGGGTGGAGGATTTTTTTCTCCCCTCTTCCAGCTCCCATGCAGAATATAAATATTTCCCCTTTCTTCTGTACAGTGTTTGAAAACATTGTCCTTTCTATCATCAAGGAAACAGAGAACAATGCCTAATGATGCTGGCTCTAATTTGGAAGGCATATTCAATCCTATTATGGAACAAAAGAGGAATTTTCTTTTTTGGTAGTGTCACTCTGTTGCCCAGGGAGTGCAGTAGCGTGATCATGGCGCGTAACAGCCTCAACCTCGTAGGTTCAGATAAACCTTCTGCCTCAGCCTCCCAAGTAGCTGGGACTACAGGCTCACAACACCACACTCGGCTAATTTTCTATTTTTATTGTTTGTGAAGACAGGGTCTCACTGTGTTGTCCAGGCTGGTCTTGAACTCCTGGGCTCAAGCAATCCTCCTGCTTTGGCCTCCCAAAGTGCTGAGATTACAGTGTGAGCCACAGCACCTGGTCTGGGTTTTTTTTTTTAATTACAAATTTTTTTTTAAAATGGAGACAGGGTCTCATTTTGAAACCAGCAGGGTTTCCCTGCTGGTCTTGAACTCCTGACCTCAAGCCATTCTCCTACTTAGGCCTCCTAAAGTGCTGGAATCGCAGGCATGAGCCACCATGCCTAGCCAGAAATGGGGTTTTATGTGGAAAAGATGCAGAGGGTAATCCAGGGAGAAAAAGAGAAGAAAAGAGAGTAGCAAAGGAAGTGTTGCCTGTGAACTTATCTTGAAAGTTCCCTCACAAGCACCCTTTGCCCAACTTCCTGTTCATACTACCCAAGATAAGTCTCTTGAGGAGCTGAGAGAAGATACACTGATGAAAGTTACTGTCAAAGGCTCAGAAGACTTTGCCAGGCAAATATTCTGCCTTCACAGAGGAATGGCCTCCCCTCCTTCAATCTCTTGTTCAAAAAATCTTGGTTAAGGTGTGCAGTGGCTCCTTTTTCATCTGCCACCACTGTCTGAAAACCCAGCAAGACTGTGCTTTTGGTAGAGGCAGGTCTTTTTTTGGTTACTTTTCCACAATATTCCACCATGGCTATAAGCCTAAATGTATATTAGATACCTAAAGGCATGATGGGGAGAACTCCTTATCTGAAATGGGGTTAGGACTGCACTAAACAAGCTTAAGATCTGGTAAGCTGCCAGAGTGGTTTAGTGATGTCACTGTTGTACAAACTTAACTAAAAAAGGAGACATTAAAGTAGAATTTCTTTTTCTTTTTTTTTTTTTGGAGTAGGAGTCTCACTCTGTCGCCCAGGCTGGAGTGCAGTGGCATGCTTACAGCCACTGCAGCCTCCACCTACTGGGCTCAGGTGATCCTTTTGTCTCAACCTTCAAGTAGCTGGAACCACAGGCATGCACCACCATGCCTGGCTAATTTTTTGATTTATTGTAGAGACGAGGTCTTGCCAAGTTGCCCAGGCTGGTCTTGAATCCTTGGGTTTAAGCAGTCCTCTCCAAAGTGCTGGGATTATAAGTGTGAGCCACCACACCCAGCCAATTATATCCTTTATTGATTATATTTTGTAATCTTGAAAAGATAAGGAAAAAGCAAGATGAAGAAATCAGAAATAGGTGGAGCTCAATGAATTACAAACTATGTCAGTGGAGGACATCTTTAACACTGTCAGTAAGGTCAGGAGATTAGTGCCCCACCCACTCCAGAATCTCCACATGGACTAGGATGGTCATAAAGGCAAGAAAGGAAGAAAACCCATTCCCCTAGAGTACAATTTAACATGATTGGAGAGACATGTTTATGCATGGCATACAACAAGATTAAAGGAACGGAATATGTGACATTCTGCCCATTCATTCAACAGCTCCCCAGTCTGTGATTCGTCCTTCCAAATATATTGACCAGTACTCACCCATATGCATTCATTCCAATCAGACTACTCCCTATACCTCTGGTAAATCTTGAAAATGCCTGCCTTCTTTTCCCTGCTTATTGTCTTCCCTAACAAGTCACAGAACTCAGAGTTGAAAACAGAGATCTGTGTTGTGATCCCTGCGATGCTGCCTTTATTTATTTATGTGTTTGTTTATTTATTATTTATGAGACAGGGTCTTACCATGCTGCTCAGGCTGGCTTCAAACTCCTGGGCTCGAGATCCTCCCACCTCAGCCTCCTGAGTAGCTGGGACTACAGGTGTATGACACTGCTAACTTGACATTCTTTTAGTTAAACTTTGACTTATTTTTATTACTGAGTCCACAGAGTAAGTCTTTTTTTTTAATTTTTTTTTTTTTTTTTTTAGAGTTGGAGTCTCACTCTGTTGCCCAC